AAATTAACTCACAGTGGACGAATCAGGAGCTGGTCGCTTTCCTCGGCAGGGACAATTATCTCTATTTTGCGTTTTGTGGCCATTTTGTTCTAAATTTTTAGTGTCATTTTTAAAATACAAAAAAATAAAATAAAATAATAATAACAAATCCGATAATACTGCACTCAATGTGTTTTCTGAATGAACTTCCGGGGGCGTGTCCAAAATACGCCCGACTGGAATCAAGTCGTGTGACAGAAGTTCCGAGACGGACGTCGGTTGGCTTTTACCAGCTTTGTTCTAACATTTATTAAACAACCCGACGCAAAAAAGAGGCACGGCAGTTAAATATATTAGCTCAATTTAGGATTATCTATTTTAAGTTCAGCAATGTATCGACACAATAATCCGTATTATTCATAGGATTTTTATGTGTTTATTTTTCCTCTGCGTTGCGTCCCCTTTAAGTGGTGTTGGGTGTAGGCTTCAAAGCTCAAAGGGAAGCCGAAGAGTCAAACTGTGGATAAATAGAAAGTGGATTGGAAGAAAAGCAGATAAACGGTACACTGAGAGCACCTCGGTACAACAGGTATGTTTCAAGTCATGTTAGTGTTAGATAATTCACTCTCTTTACAAGCCCCTCCGAGGAAGTCCTCGGCTTGTAACTTTTAAAATGAATGCGACCAAGAGTGAGTAGGATAAGTTTGAGTCACTCAGGTTTTCTTGTAGCTACAGCACTACAAGCACAGAGCAGCTCGTAGTTTGGGTGATAGGCGTCTTAACCTTTGGTGTCTGTAGCCTGGGACTCCGTTAGCTTCATCTGTTTACAGACACGCTGTTCAAGCCGCACCTAAACGAGGCTGTTACAGTAGCAGGTGTAGTTTCCTGTTTAAATGGTGCTCCTGTTTTTAAACTTGGTGGTTGTATGCGTTGTTAAATAGTACTGTAATACTATACTATAATGTTAAAAAGTACAAATAATCTCACAAATTTGTGTTTATAATCGATATTATCAATTTAGGCTCTTGTTTGAGTGTTATATCGTCTGTTATTCTGAGTATTCTGGTCCTGAGTTATTTTCAGACTCAGACGTGATTAAACTCAAGTTGAAAGTGAAATGCGGTTTAGCAGCGGTGGTGATTGAATATACTGTAGCTTTTCTAGCCTTAGTTTAACTTTGCTTTCAGAGTTCCCAGGACAAGTACACCTTCCTACATGAAGAAACTACTCGAACAAATATCTCACCTTTCACTTGTGGATGTTGTTATTTTAATTAGGATGTCTTTTTGTGTGGATGACTCAAGGTTATTATAGTTTAACTAAAACTGGTCTAGAAGACTGAGGGAAAGGATTTTAGTTCGCTAGAATAAAAATAAAGCCCAATTTTTATTTTTTATTTTTTTTTTTAAAAAGAAACCAACTGGAAACATGTACTTGCCAAAGTAATACAAATTATATAAATATCCAAGAAATCTCATGAATTTCATGAAAGATATTTAGCAGTTGTTTTAAGCCAGCCCTCATTTCTTAATATTTTACTTTCAATGAAGCCACTAAACACACACCCATGAATCTTTTCTTTCTTTAAATTGCCATTAGTGGTTCAGAATGTCATCAGCATGTATAAAGGAGGAGAGGAGAACGGTCCAATGGTGAATGTGTGCCGCCATCTGTAAAACACACTACTCTCTCATGGTTTGGGCTGCTTTTCAGCCAGTGCTGTTGGGGACCTTTTCAAAATTGATGGAATTATGAACACAGAAAAGTACCATCAGATTTTAATCCACTGGGCAGTGCCATCGGGAAAGGGCCTGATTGGCAACGCCTTTATTTTCCAGAATGACAGTAATCCCAAAAACACTGCCAATGCAGTAAAAGTATACCAGGGTAGAGAAACGCACAGTAGAACACTATCAGTCATGGATTGGCCTCCCCAGAGCCCAGACCCCCGGTGTCATTTAAGCAGTGTGGGATCATCTTTATTTTTCTTCTTCTCTTATAAGAAAGAGGAACAAACTAGGTATCAATTATTCAAACCGTATATGCTCCTGTGTCCTGCATTTAATTATTTATGGGCTCCATTAACACCTGAGAAGGCAGCCATGCTGCGCGTTTAACTCTGAGCCCTGTGATGATCCAGGTCAGCGGGTCTGGAGGGCTGGATGCGGTCGTCATGGTGAAGGATGTTCCGGAAAGGCAAAAAGCGCCACAGCAGCAGCAGCTCGCAAAGCAGTGAGATCAGCACAAAGAGCAAGGTGGTTAACAACACAAGCATGCAGACACGTGTGTCTTTGCGTTTCATTAAGGCGGCGCTGTCTAATGTTTCTGTCTCACTGCAGTCTGTGGACTCCAGCTTGGGAGGACTCTCCAGATCGAGTACTGTTGCCAGCCTTGACACGGACTCCACCAAAAGCTCAGGTCAGCTTGACTTCCTGTTAAAATTTTGAAGCAGCGTCGCAGTTTAATTTTCTAACTGGTGTTTTTTTTGTTGTTGTTGTTTTTTGTCTATAGGGAACAACACATCTGAGACATGCGCTGAGTTTCGGGTGAAATATGTGGGTGCTATTGAGAAGTTAAAGTTTGACATGAGCAAGACCCTCCAGGAACCGCTGGACCTCATCAACTACATTGATGCTGCTCAGGTAAGAAGCTGGAGAAAGATCTGGGCACATTTTAACTTTAACCTTTCTCCTTGGAAACATGCTGTAATTATTCCGATATAAAACAGAGAAGGTACTGCAAATTTTGCTTCCTCTTCTCATAGCAAGATGGAAAGTTGCCATTTGTTCCCGGAGATGAGGAGATGGTTCTCGTAGTGTCCAAGTACGGCGTCAAGGTGGCGTCGCTGGACCAGTGTGTGAGTAGTAAAGGAATAGAAAGGTGGTACACAGTCATTTCGAAGAGTATCCCAAGAACGGAGGAACATTTTGGTGTCTAAACTACAACAACTGAGCTCCTCGGTTACCTGAATTTTAAAAAGAAGAGGTGATGCAACAGGGTGGTAAACATGCTCCTGCCCTCAATGCACTGAAAAATGTTGCTGGCATCAAATTCAAAGTAATTCTGTGAATGTGCAGTTAAATTTCACACTTCCAACCTTTGATGTGATTTGATTTAACAGTTTAATTTTAACGTAATTTAACTTAAATTAAACATGGCACACAAATGATTTGCAAATCATTTTTGGAAACTGAGTTAACAAATTGAAAAAGACCCCTACTATGTGTTTTTGTTCTACACTCTCAGAATGTGCTGCATCGCCATCCTCTCTACCTGATCGTGCGTATGCTGTGCTACGATGACGGGCTAGGCGCGGGGAAGAACCTGCTGGCTCTGAAAACCACTGACACAGAGCAAGAAGAGTGCAGCATCTGGGTGTACCAGTGCAGCAGCTCAGTAAGTACGAAATGGAAGGTCTTTTACACGGTCACTGTGCGTTTCCTTTCCCTGATGCGTGACATCTGCTGTCTGTCTGAACAGGAGCAGGCGCAGTCCATCTGCAAAGTGTTGTCGGCCTCCTTCGACTGCGTTCTGACATCAGACAAGTCCAGAGGCTCCGAGTGAGAGTTGGGATGAGAGCGAAACATCTGCAAAACCAGCAACAGTTAGACAACCAGCATTGTTATTGGCAAAAATGTTGCACCTTTGCTTTCTTACCCTTCTGAGAGGTCATCTAAAGGGCAGATCTGATGGTGCGTAATCTTTGTTATTGATGGAAAAGTCTGGCGTGAGCTAGCTGTTGTTCCCCTTCCTGTAATCCATCCAGTTAAAACAGAACTGTGGTGAATTTTTCTGAGTCACTTCCCTGGAATTTGTTGTTTTTGTTTTTTTTGCCTTCTCACAATAAATAGTAAAAGAAGGTGTAGTAAGGAGGCAAACGGTTGCATTAAATATAGCTTTGGGACACAATGCAGAGCTTTTATAAGTGTAACGTTAAGTGTATTTAATGTACGCAATGGTACTACATAGTGCTAAAACTTTGCTGGCATATGTTAATTCACGGAAGACAATCATCGGATTAACTGCTCGGTACACAGATGTGACAGCTGGCTTCAAGAGGAAATCACTCAAATCCCTCTTCAGGTTTTGAAACCCTGTGAGTGTTTTGTTTTCTAACAGCAGTATTGGTACAATAGTGGTCGCTTTTTGACCAGAAGGAATGTTACAAATATCGCCTGACTTTTTGGACACATTGATCTTAATTTGTGGGATTTATTCATTTTTAAAGATTTACTTGAGCTTATTTTAAATCTTTTTTTTTTTTAAACTCTTTGTCCGCTAATTGTGCTTTTGTTGGCAAAAGTAAATTTTAACAGGCTGGTAGCGACACATGTGAGATTTTGTGGGACTTGTTTACAGTTGTGGTACTAACTTGACTTCACCTTGTGAAATAATACTTTGGTCCAGTTGAAAATGTGTGTGAAGAAGGAAAATAAAGACGTGGATCAGGTACAGCAGAGGAGCGTTTTCCTTTTCTTGAGTACGTTTACCAGCAGAGGGAGCTCATGAGACATCATTTAACTCTTAGCTTGACAAGATTGTTTTTAAAATGCAGGTCACGAAATATGGTAATGGAAGAAAAAAACACTTGCTGCTGGATCACAAACTCTGAAGAAGAAACACACCGACGCCTTGCACTATTTCAGATTTTATTGTTCCAGTTTGTTTTTCTCCGATTTACTTGCACAACAGAGTTAGGAGTCAATGCAGTGATTCACAGACTGTTAATGAGAATGATTTGAATAGTGTTTGTGTGTGTGCGTGCACACATTAGTATCTGTATTCATGTTTACAGCACACACACAGGCCCAGCTGAGGTTGTGTGACTGCTCATCACCACAGTGCATTAAAAGACATTTACTGCCCGGGTTAACCTGCTTTTTTTTTTTTTTTTCCCCTCCTTTTATTTTCAATATTTTACATTTAAATATCCACAAACAAAACCTGCTCTATTTACACAAACAGATTTAACAATCCAGTGAGTTAATAATCAACACCACCCTCTCGCCATTCACAAATCCACGAAAGGCTCCGATTTCAGGTTAAATGCCTAAATATCAACAATATGAACAGAGAGAAAGTTGCTCTGCAACTAAAATGAAGTTAATTACACTATGTTTAATATTTATTTCACAACGCATTAGATAAACTTGTCTTAAAAGTACTATATGAGGCTTAAGCTGCAGGAAGGGTGTTCCCTCTCTCTCTTTATTTAGCTCATCTGTGAAGAAAAAGTCTCGAGGAAGCAACAAAAGTCACAGAGCTTACTCCCGCTT